TTACTCTGGCTGTGTCCACAACAAAAGTGGTCTCTTTGCACCTGGCAATTTCTTTAAGACAATGGCTGGAGCTTTAGCAATCCTTTCCCCTGTGAAATCCGATAGGAGCCTTCTGGGACTTTTTTTCCCCTTCTTTCTCTTTACAGCAATTTCAAAACCCTGTTATTAAATCTAAAACCCACTGTTTGATAGTTCATATCTAAGCTATAATTACCCAATATGAAGATGCAAGCACAAAGTAATTTCCTAGGGAGGTTTACACAAAAGGGAATAACTCTGATTGGTTTTTTTTTCCAGTCCTTTGAGAAAATCTATAAGAGGGTGAATAAAGCAAAGAGTGATGATAGCGCAGCACAGATACAAACCTGATGATCTTACTCTGATTCTGTCGGGGTTTCTGCTCCGGTGGCTTCCTTAAAGGAGCATTGTCAGAAAGAAAAAACACATTGCTGGAAGTGGGTTGTGCAATCAATCACTGGCCACCGAGAAAGTGGGGGATCAGATGGGTTCCCTTTTGAATTCAGTCAAAACACACTTCAAAGAAACTGGCATGTGTCTTGTCTGAGGTATTTAATCATATGTTTGATGCCTGGCTCCCTGTCGCAATTCCTTAATGAGACTAGACTTTTGTAATCCCGGAAAAGAGAGGCTAGAAGATAATTATGCAAGTTATAAACTCTTTTTACTGTAGATACCAAGTTTTTGGATAATTGCATTTTCTTGGACTGGTCCTTGAGCAGATTGATTTATGGAAAATAAAGGCTTTTTATTTTTTCCCCACTGCTCGAATGGTACAAACTACTGTTTCCTAACCTGTAGTCCCTGCATCCCTGCAGTGCCTGGATTATTTGTGAGGGCTCTGTGAAAAGCGTGTCTTCATATGATCTGCGGCAGTTACACATGAGAAACTTCTGAAGGTCCACGTATCAAACAAGGTGGAAAATTGCAATGTAGACAGCCTGAGGAACTTGATGAACGTGCTCAGCTCCTCCTGACCAGGCCAAATAAGGTGGCCTTTCCCCGTGCAGAAACCTTCTGAGCAACTGGTTGCGGCAGTATGAGTTCCCAGCTCTAATTAGTGTGAGATTGCAAACCATTATACGCCATATGGAGCCCCCACTGTTCCCGATCATCCTTGTACTTGAGAAGACCGAGGAGTGCTGCTGGTGCTTCTTTCTATTTTTCTGCCCCTTGCAGCAGCCCCCATGGCTGGATCCAGCCTTACGTCGCTGTTTGGGTCGATGCAGCAAGAGCTGAGCAACACGCATCATCTGTGTGCGGGTGGTTTTTTAGGTATTCTGTGGGTAATTATTAAACTTGGAAGAAATACGTGGCTATTAGGACCAGCGAGGATTGAATGATATCCTTTCAGAAAGGCACAGAATGTTTTATTCCCTTTCTCTGGAGCTAGAGTCCCAAATAGCCAGGGATTTGTATTTCCCTTTTCTTCAGAAAAATGCAGTGACCCTTTGCACTGGGGCAGTCCCTCTCAGCAGGCTGGGGGAGCAAACCGAAGGGCGATACATGCACCAGAAGTAGGTACCTCACTGCTGCTGTGAAAAAACAGAAATGCAGATTAAGATGGCTGTGGCTCTGGAGAGGTGTATAAATATTTTGCATTACTTCTTTCTGCATCTGAATGAATTATAGAGTCTGGAAATAATCCTTTACTTCCCACAGTCCTTTTTTGGGGGATCAGACATGTTCCTGTGTCAAATTTATTAATTTTCTCACAACGTCCTTCCTCTCTTCTCAGTCCTCTGTGGGATCCACACCAGATTCGGTTCATGGTGTTTACGTTGGGTTTCTTCAGAGATGGGGTCAAACCATTCACATTTACTGTCTGGAATAGACTTGGGGAGTGCATGAACTTTCTTCTGTGAAACTTGGTGTTTGTTTTGTATTCAAATGTAAGGTTCACTTCTATCTATGAATTAATCCAGACATCTTTTTCGAAAGACATCAGAATTGTTTACCTTTTTTCAATTTGCTTGTCTCAGGGAAAAAGAATAATGTCCCCTCAGTCAGGTTTGTTGCTATTTCCAAATGAGTTTTAGGAGTGTAAAAACACTCCGTGTGTTTCTGGAGTTCCACGTCGTTATCCTTAGCTCAGTGTATCGTCACGGGAAGCAAAACTGGTTTACTTCTGCAGATGCAAACACCGTTCACTTCTGTGTCTCATGGTGTGTTTTGATTTCTCTGTTTTCTCCCCAGCCCAGGTCTTTCAGGTAACTCCTCTGGGTTTTTGCCATCTTGGACCTAGAAGGCAGGCGGTGTCTGTTTTACCCTTATTTTTTTTGCAGCTTGATACTCTGCTCAGCACTCACGCTGACGTTCACCATTTCTTCCTTCCCAACCTTGTTCTCAGCAGGCGTTTCTGTAGCGTGGGAGTGGAGTATAATGTCTCTCTGGTCTTAAAAGTGTGAAAAAGCTCTTTCCTTTAGGAATTAAACAACCGATCTTCCATCCGCTCACTGATGTACTGTCCTCTTAGCTTAGCCCAAAATATTTGTGTAGGCTGTAACATAATTTAATCTTTCCCATCTCAGCTGGCAACACACCCCAGCCAGCTAGCTTTTCTGTATATGTTAACATTTAATGGTGCCATTTCTTTTTAACCTCCTAGTAAGTCGTGCGTACTACAGATGGTTGGAGACCAGGTGGGGTACGTCTGCAGGGTCTTCTGATTAATCCCTTGTTAAGACAGTTTTCATTGTATATAACGGTGCAGGATTTTGTGATTTTTAAGCTGTATTAGTAGGCACAAAATGGCAAAATATACTTTAGTTTTGACTGTAACTGAAATCTTTATGGTGAAATAGAGTTTGCAATGTCTGCTTTTAAATCCATACATACACCTGGGCGCTTCCTACCTTCTTTTATATCAGACACGTGTCTGGTTCAGTATTTTGTATCGGATGGTGGCACCAGGAGATGCCATGCAGGAGGAGCACGCAGGTCCAGCCGCTTTCTGCAGTGCAGTTCTAGCATCCCCAAGTGCTGTTTTTCTCAGAAATGAAAGTTCTGTCAAACCCTAGCACCTATAATAACTTACACAAGGAAGTAATTACAAATCTGCTAATGAATTAGGTAACTCCTCAACGGGCTTCAGAACAGCAGCCCTCCAGACTGTCTATGAAATAGCGTTTTTTCGATCAATTTGTAGCTATTTAGGCAGCCTCTTACTCTTCCCTTCGTGGTTTCACTATAAGAAGGACGAATGGAAAATGTAAAGTCATCAGAAATCAATTAATCTGGGAACATGCATATTAAAATGCCTTACTTACAAAGACCCAGATATTACACAGCAGAGCAGAATTTGAGAACATTTGGATCCCTGATTGGTGCATTTCTGTAAGCTTAGCTTGTTTGGATTACTTTTTTGTTTGGACTGTGATTTTTCTATTTATTTTTAGGGTAATTGAACCTTCTTTATAAGGTATTTGACCTTAAATTGGTCTGCACACTTAAATCTCAGCTCTAGTATAAATCTGGCTGGATATTCTGGAATTTAAGGGAAAAAAAAAGCCAATAACAAAACCAGAATGGCTTTACAAAATTTTTTCCAACTTCGACAGCTGAAGAAATTCTAGCTGTTTTGAAGTGCTCTCAGTGATACTAGTCTTGGTGTGAATTGTGGGGGAGAGCCTGGTATGCTCGGGAGATGTGTTTGCTACTAGCCGCAGGTGCAGTCCTCACGTGATTAAAGCTCAGCGTTTCTACAAGATAATAACACTTTGCACCGATAACATCTCCCGACAGGATTCAGTCCTTCCAGCTGCAGAGTTTCTTCTTTCTTACATCTGATCATGGACTGTGCTGCCAGTCGGCAGAGGGGACTGCAGACCACTTCAAATAATACCTTCTGCTCTGGGTTGCTGGAAGCTGAACCTGCATCTCCGTCGGCGGTGTGGGTCCGTGCTGTGCTCCGCGGGGCTGGGAGGAGGTGGCCTGGTGCTGTATCGCCCTCGCCGCTGCCCTGGCTCCTGCGAAAGTCCTCGCCTCGCTTTGCTTCTGCACTTCTGTCATAATATTGACTTGCAAACATATAGCTTTTTTGCGGGTTGCTATGGTTACCTCTCAGCTACCCGCATCTGAACTGTAGAAACGAGTAACGAGCAATACATTTCAAGCCTTAATGAAATGCACAGCAGTGTGTTAAACTTTTAAACCCAACGTGAATATCACTAAGCAACATCCATTCGTGATTTGCCGTAATTACTGCTGCAAGCTCCTTACGATTGAAATGCTAGAGTACAAGTCTTTCTCCTCCACTGCATCAAATATGTTTTTCTGCCAGTGGCTTCACAGTATCTCAGACCTGTGATGTTTTCTAGTCCCTTCACAGTTTCAAAGAACTAAGTTTGACCTCTTTAAATTATTCACACCTTCAGACCGGCAACATCTCCAAAACCTCCTTTTTTGTGTATCGCCCATTTCCTTCTCATTCACTCCCAGAAATTTATTTTAAAGACCTTTGATTCCTCTGCCCTACTTCCAAAATGTAAATCCGACTCGTTTCCTCCAAGCTGCTTCTTGCATATTTGGAAGAACCAATTCCACCAAACCAGCATTAGTTTTGAATTAAAATGTGCACGTAGTAAAATATGCTTGGAGCTGTTTGCTCCAGTAACTGCACCAGAAAGAGCCGATGCCTCAAGTCTTTTGAGGTGGTCGTTTTCTACTAAGAGGTCTTATTTAGTGTCTATCTTGAACAATGTGTTTTGTCCAACAGTTTGAGAAGTAAAATAAAAGCGGACACTGTTTATATGTTCACACTCCAGGCTTCAAGTCAAGTGATTAATTGCACCACCCAGTGCAACTGCAGTTCTTGAATTAGTTGTATTGGGCTTGCAGATCAGGTGGTTCAGAATCTCTCTTGCGATGTGCCCAGGTTCTCTGCTGATCAATCTGATTTCCTGTATACTGTTAATATTTTACATTTACAGCACCAGAGTTACCAATCCTAGAGAGGAAAAACTGGTTGATCTATCTGCTGTATGTTCGCAGAGACTACGACGAGTGTAAGGTAAGAGCTGCTTTCAGGGCTTTGCTTTAGGAAGTATCTTACTGATGTTATGCAACGATAGTTTTCATACCAGTTTTCAAACCACTCCCTTTCCTGACTTTTGGAATAAGGGGACCAAGAGAAAATACAAGTAAAATAACTTTAATGTTCTCAAATCCTTGGCTACCTTCAGGATCCATGTGTGCAGTTGTCTGGAGCAATCTGTGAGCTTAGTATGTCTTTGGGAGTAGAAAAATGGAAAGAATTGCAAACCTCTCTTGTTCCAAGTGATGGATACAGTCTTCCAAACTGATAACAACACAGTTCTGTAATGCAAGTCTCTCGATGGTACTACAGAGATGCTATGAAAAACACTTCAATTGAGTAAAACGTCACTACCAAGTCTAAAAAAAAAAAGATCTTGGTTGCCCTTGAACAAAATTCTTTCATTTTACACATGACACATTGCACCCTTTAATTTCTCCTGGGTTTGGTGGGTAGCTTGGAAGTGGTTGTTTGGGATTGTAATGGTAAGTGGACTAAGAAAATGGCAAATCTATTATTAAACTGTGTGTTTTCCTGATAAAATGAACACGAGCTATTGAGGATGATGCGCCAGTGGGCAGGAGGACAGAAACAAGAGTCGTCTTTCTGTTTCTGTGATGTGCAAAGAAGATTTGAAAAGACATTTTTTGCTTCTGAAACACCAGGGTTGGTCAGGACTTGTCTCTCTCTGCTGGAGAACTCCTGGGGGTGCTTAGGAATGTGGCAGGCTGGAGGAAATTAATTTAGCTCTTAATTAATGGAGCTGGAGGGTTCTATCATCAGCAGTTGATTTCCTCTCAGATCTTGGTTTAAATAGATATAAACAAAAGTTGGACTAGCAATCTAAATAGAAAGTTGTTTCCCTTTTCTGTTGATCTGACTGCATTTTTTTGGTCTCTGCGTACCCTGTTTCTGTGATGTGACGTAGAATCACAGAGTGCAGAGAAGAGTACAGCTCAAGAACACAGAGAAGATAACCAAGTGGATGATATAATGGCAACATTGACTTCTCCGCATCTTCATCAGTCATGAAAGCAAGCAAAATATGGGGAAAAAAATTGAGAGAAGACAGTTAATACTCTTGCTTGGCAGGCCAGCTTTGCAGTAGCTGTCAAAGTAAAAGGCAACAAAGCCTTTCCTCATGGCTCACAAAACAGGGGTTTTGCAGTAAAGTTGGAAGAGTTTGGCACCAGACCATAGCAGGTTAAATGATCTTCCATCCTTTTGCCCAGATGTGACGGACATGTGCTCAGAGGCCTGGACTTGTCCCAAAGAGGCTAGGAACCTCAGCATGCCAGGATGCTTTGCCAGTCACTGAGGAGTAATAGGCACGTCCAAAAGGCGACTGAGCTCTGAGGTGGGCTGAGCTGCCCTCTGGTAATCTCTGTCTCTCTCCGCTGGTGTTTTGTGGGGTTATGGATCCAACCTGGATGCCCCGGGTGCTTGCCCTTATACCTGATAAGCATAGACATTCCCAAACATGCTATTTGGGGCTAATACCTTCAAAAATGAAAGAGCTGTTGACAATGGCTTCAATTGCTATTAACTCCTTGATTTCAGTGTAGTTTGGTCATTCATTAAAATCCATTCATTTTAAGACTCAGCTAAGAAACAAGTGACCTGTGATGCTATTAATTTTGGTCTAAATCTTGCTAGACCCTCTTTCCCACTCAGTGCTTTGAAATGCCTCCTCTCTAACACGGTTTTAAAAGCTCCCATATTTTTCAGTGTTGGTAGAAGGCCAAGAAAAACCTGCCTGTTAACCAATATTAGCTCTCCAAAGTGAAGGCATCAAATTGATTTTAACCCTTACAGTGCCACTCCTGCCTCTATTTTTGTGTCGCCATGCTTTTGACAAATTTTGTTGCTCTTTACGGCGAGAGATTAATAACGCTGGCTGTTTTGATTCGCCTCTCCTTCTGCCCAGCAAGATGCGCAAACATCGCCCAGAGCCTGCAGCTGCAGCATCCCCTGCTATCGCACCGGCGGAGAGGAGCGGGGGGAGAGGAGGGACAGGCCCTGCTAAGCACTGATCATCACTCAGCTCTCGCTCTTCGCGCGCAAAGCTAATAAGCTGTGTTTTCTGCTTGCAGCCTCAATTCCAGCCCTACCCCCTAACCGTTTTTCACAACAGAGATCTTCTGCTTCTGTTCTGTGCGAGGAGGGAGTTATTAAAATTGCCAGATGCTTTTAATTAATTAAAATCACTCGTGCTGGTTGGTCTCCTGCCAGTATGTCTAAATTCTATCGGCAAGTTAAATAAACTTGGGAGGAAAAGCTGGGATTACAGATCATATTTCTCAGCTCAAGGCCTTTTGCTGTGGGATTTTTTAGGGCTTATGGAATTAATCAGATCTCTCTAAAAGATAGCTCTCTGTTGCCCTCTCTTGCTTTGGGAAACTGGTTTTATGTAGATGGAGCAATATAGAATAACCATATTCAGGAGATGCTTGGTTGTGTCTGAATTGAATGTCTTATACTAATGTACTTTGTAAAGAATATAATATAGATATATTAGCAGATACAGATGAGAGAAAGAGCAGCCTAGACTTGTTCTTCCTTTTCCTTCTCTCTTTAGTTTTCTTTTTATGAGTGAGGATTCTCAGCGATAACCATCCTTGCCTTCACACCGCTTTCCTTCTGTGTGCTATATTTGAGGTTCAGTTTTCCTCCTTGTTTTCAGGCCCTTCACTTATATTCGTCTCGGAGGCAGGGAATGCTGGTACTGATCATACACTTAACAGGAGTGCCAGATGAGCACCAGGTTATTGCTAGCCCAGAAATCTTTCTTTCCTCCCTTTGTCTCTTCCACTTCCAAGCAAAAGAGGAGTCTCAGAGCAGAAATGATGCTCTTGGTTCGTAGCCAGAGCGCTCATCCTCCCAAAGGTTACTCTTTTTGACCAGTTTTATAATTTCAGGTCATATGTGACTATGGCATATAGCCAAACTGCACCCACACGCCAAACTGTCAGCTGCATGAATGCAGCCAGCAAGAATTTACATTTTCATCAGTTTGGGGTTGGTTCCCCCCCCCCCCTTCCTTTTCCCATGTACTCCTCATTTGTTCATTTGGCTTTCATTGACTCAGCTGCAGTTGCTCCAATTCAATTTATTTCTTCACAAATGGCTTAGAGTAGATACCCTTATCAGCAGAGGATGCTTTCAGAGATTCCTTGTGGCATTTTCCCCAGGTAGTATCTAATTATCTTTGGTAATAGGAATGAACAGAGAAATACTAAAAGGACTACAGTATTCCTGGCACAATGCTCTTCACACCCGGTGATGAGCTTGCAGTCTTCTGTGCACTGCTGTAGTTGTCCCAGCCGCAGTCCAGTGTCTTTATTATACGTGAGGTTGTGGTTTCTGTAACAGAAACCAAATCTCTGTCATTAGCTTTGTTTACAACTAGTTACAAATTCTATATTAATATTGACTTTTCCAAACGCAAATTCTGATTAAACAAATTTTGTAGTTCTCATGACCTGTGTGATACCACTGTTACCATCACATCAAGAAGAACTTGGCCATCACCACGTTGCATGATGTTTAAATTCAAGTTATTTTGGGGCGTTCTGCAATAAGCACAGACACAGCACAGCTATATGTAGCACGTACAAAAAAATTCTCCAAATCAAGGTTGCAGAAGGTATTTGGTCAGTCAGAAATCAATTTTCTTTCATAGGGATTACCTTTATTAAAATATTTGAAGGGTTTATATTCTTCTGAAAGCTGCCATGCTGCAGTTTAGTAATGGGATAAGAGCGAACCAGCTAATGGGCTTTTTGGTGAAGGAGACTGCGTTTGGTATGGATGCTCTGTGCTTTGTCATTTCAGGCTGTCATCAAAGAGCAGCTCCAGGAGTCTCATGGGCTGTGTGAATATGCCGTCTATGTTCAAGGTATGTCGCAGGAGGTCTCCGAAAGTCTTAATTTTGCTAAAGCAGGTTACTTCTGATTTGAGATATAGTGAACAATAAGAAGGGGAACAGGTGACAGAAACATATAAAATTCATATGTAAAAAATATATGGCTGCTTTTCCCTCCTTGCTAGGTCTAGTTTTGAAGTTTGGGATTTTCACATGAAATGGGCAGATTAGATTTTCTATTTGTGCTGTATCGATGAGTTTGTCATTGATTCCTCCTTGGACTGTGGGCTCTTGGCCTTCAATGTGTTGGTGCGTGCTTGGGTTGTGTGTTTGATTGTATTACAGATGCATGTTTTCTGTTAGAGCTACCTGCCTCAGGTGATTGTTGTCTTACTGTTTACTTCAAGGATGGTATTCCTCTTCTTGTTCTCCCTGCTGTCCCCTAAAAAATATGCCCCAAAACTTGGCGTTCCAATTCAAAGTGCCGTGATGGGGAACAACTGAGATTTGTTGGCCAAGGACATACTGCAGCCTCTAGAAGCTGGGGAGGGGAAAAATCCAGACTGCATCTCAACAAACGACTGGCCAGGGTTTAAAGCTGCCTTTATTCTGAAAACGAGAAATTTTTCCAGGCATGCACAAGTCCTTTGCATGTGTTGTCGTTGTGCCCTCAGATACAACTTCTGCCTGAGGTTGCTGCAGAAGGGGGAAAGAGCAAATGAGCATTGTTATAATATATCTGTGCTCCCCCTTCTTTCCCTGCTGTCAGAGAGGCACATTTTTCCTGCAGATAATGGACTAATTTGTCTGGTATATGTTGTCTTACAGCTTTGATATTTCGCTTGGAGGGGAAAATTCAAGAATCTCTTGAACTTTTTCAGACATGTTCCATTCTGAACCCTCGAAGCGCTGACAACCTCAAGCAGGTGGCACGATCGCTGTGAGTGGTGTTTTATTGTTTCTCTTTGATGTGCCACCCAGGACCTTCCATGTTTTGTTTTTTTCCCAGTGAAGTCCCAGGCTGCTTAATTCCAAACATGCTTCCTCCGTATCAACACTTGAGTTTGTCTTCTGGAAGCCTGGGCTACCCTTAAAAGCAGAATCTCTGTTATCTTCCTGGCTGCTATTGTATTTTCTTTTTCTTTGTATTCTAAGCAAGAGAGGTAACACACTGATTTCTAGGTCCAGAGCTAAGGGTGCTGACCTGAGCTATGTAAACTTGCCCTACAGACCCCTCTCTGTCTCTGAATGTCTGGTTAGATCACCTGTCTGTTTCCTTTGAGACACAGGCAGACTGCAGAGCCTGTGAATTCTTTCCTTGCATCTCCAGTAGCGTCAGGGAGTGCCTCAGCATCTCGCAGGATTGATGACCTTGGCCCTGAAAGGGAGCACTACTCAAATTGTAATATTGCTGAGATTGTAAACTTCTCAGGGCTTCTCATGCAGTTCTCTGGAGGACTAGCAAATAGCGTCATTTCTTACTGGCAGAGGTGACAGTGGGTGCACAGCAGGGTTTCAAAGTGAGAAAAAAAAAAAATTAAAATGCTTTTTCAGGTTTCTTTTGGGGAAGCACAAGGCAGCCATTGAAGTGTACAACGAAGCAGCTAAACTCGATGAAAAGGACTGGGTAAGTGTTTCAGCGAGTTGCAGATTATTGTAGTATGCAGATGTTTCTGCAGTTTTATGAAGACAGCTGCAAACTTGTTTGGAGCAGAGGTGAGCTCAGGCTGCCTGCAGTCTGAGCAGACGAGGAGCTGCAGGGCTGAGGCATTGCCTTTTAGCACAGGCTCGCAAACATGGATGAGCCTCTGCAGCATCTGGTTTGGATCACAGGAGCAAGGAATCATTTCTGCTGGCAAAATCCCACACCTTGGCTTGGAGCACAGAGAATCGAGCAACCTGTTTGAGCTTTGCAAATTATCATTGTTAACATAGCCTTATATATATAGAGAGAGAGATAGAATATAGATAGGAAAGTATGGGAAGTAACTCCCTGTTTGGAAACCCTCAGTTGTCATTAAAACTTGCTTGAGTAGTTGGGAAACCTTTTGTACTGCAAAACACGAAAAAGATTATCCCTCAAACTAGCTGAGAGGCTTACTTGTTACCTACAAGCATTACCTGTTTTGGCAAAACATAGGCTCATAGCTACAGAAGCAATAATTAAAATAGCTCTTCTATATAAGAAGTAAAAAGTGAAGGAAGAGCATTGCAAAGGGAAAGGTGTGACGGGGGTGAGAGGAGAGAGGACGTGCCTTGCCGTTAGTTGTGGGCAGCCTTCTGCAGGTGGCTGTTTTGCCTGCAGAAGTGTTGTTTCTAAGATAGACTTGCTACATGTGATCTCATTCCCTGAGACACTCACTGACTTTAGCCATGCTTTTGGTGCTCAATGCATCTAAAATTCAGGCTTCATACAAGGATATGTTTGGTATTACTGAATTTATCCTGTGCTAGACAACTCAGAAACCTTTTACACTGTGGGTCTTCTTTCAAGTCTGCATTCCCTTAGCTAACCAAGCTACTTGGAGTATGTGCTTGGCATGCCTGTAACCCAATTTACAACCATGGCAGGCAGACTTCAGTGGGTATTTTGATCAGTTATTTCCCATACCTGGCTCAGCACTGGAAGTAGAGCCAGCCTGTGCTCTTCCTTTGCACTGTCTGGTTCTGCAAGCTGCAGTAACCAGGAGTTACGGGTTCATTACTGTTCTACACAGTTGGAGAGACTGTGTGGAGGAAAATACCATTTTAAGAGGGTTAATGGGGAAATAAGGGAGTTTCCTCTTAAAGGTCAAGGCTGTCTAAACTGATGAAGCAGTGAAATGCTCACCAGAATAGAAACAAGGAACCAGCGGACCTTGCTTTTCAGCTCCCCAAGATGTGCCAGGGTAGGTAAAGTGGCAAGAAGCTTGTCTGTTAAACTGCTGCTGCTGAATTAGAGGTATGATTGTTCCCTACGGTGTCACCAGAGTGTTTAGGATCCCTAAGTGATCTTCCTACCCCATGGCAAAATCGTTTAAGATGCCAGAGGGTTATCGGCCCTTATGGTGCTCAACTTCTATTTTGGAAAATTCGGCACATCTTCAAATTTTGGCCAGCTGGGCGTGGCATTGTGCACATCCTAATGACCGTACAGCTGGATTGAGAGCCACCTGTAAGGGCAGCTTACCTAGTTTAGGAGATCTTGCTGGGAACTGAGTCACCTATCAGTGAAGAAACCAGTGTTTGCTCCTTGTTCGCTGAAGAGACCATCGTAATTTCTGTGTTTTTTGTCTCAGTAGCCTGTCGTCTTTTGTGTACGATCCCACTTAGCTCTGTAGGTTCCTGAAGTAACTTGAATTTATTGGTTTGCTTGATCTACAAAGCAAGAAGGGTGTGGGCAGGGACCGGGATCTCCCCATCTGGGTCAGTGATGACTGCTATCACTGGCAGGTTGTGTAGCATGTGTTTCATACCTCATGCTGATTTGGTTTTGTTTGTGGTTTGTTTTTTTTCGTACAGGAGATCAGCCACAACCTGGGTGTGTGCTACATGTACCTGAAACACTTCAACAAGGTAATGCAAATGCTTGTCTTATCTACCTGACAAACGGGAAGCCGGGTTCCCAGAAATTTCACTTTCTTTGGCAGTTTGAAGTGGATCATTTGCAGTGATAGCTATCAAGGAGGTTTTTTGCTTCAGTGTTTGTTTCTGGGCGCGAAGGTTTGTAAGCTGTCTCTGTTTTCATTTGCATGTTGAATTATTTTGAGTTTGCTGCAAGTTCGTGAAGTTGGGTAAGAGTGAAATGGAGGTTAGTCTTGTTGCAGGTCAGAAGGCTTTTTCTGAACTAGGATTTTTCAGAGAAGGTTTCTGGTTTTAAAAGGAATGTTTGAGAAACCTCAAAGAGCCACCTGAAACTAGACAGAAAACCAGCTGTGCTCCAACAAGAGCTGCTTCTGTTTCTGTGCCTTTTAAAGCCAGCACCACAAACACTGCTGGTTTTGTGAGGAGCAGCAATCCGTAGAGCATGCCGGTTCCATCTTCTTGAAGAAAGAGAAGTGTGATGGTGAAGACCCAAACCATTTCCCTAGCATACAGCTCAAACCGCTGCACCTCGTGCAGCAGGAAGGAAACTTGCTGCCCCTTGGGTCTAGCAGGATTCAGAGAGAAGAGTTACGGGGTTGGTCTGCTGGAGGTGCATCAGGCACCTTTTTTCCTCCCCGGAAAGGATTTGCTCCTGTGTCTGAAGCTCCTTTTGCACTAAGCCTAGAGCAAAAGTCACAAAAGAGCATAGCTGCAGTGTGGGCAGCACTAATTTTATTAGCTTTATAGCTAATAAAGGACTTCTTGGAAGCTTGAAACAAGAGTTTTGTTCCCAGGTCTGAGCACGCCATTCCCAGCTCCTCATTTAACCCTCCCCTAGGTGCTTGTGGTGAGCACTGAGCTGTCTCTGATCCTGTGGGCTTACTTTGTAAGGGAAAAACCAGCATTTAGAAACCTTTTGTTCCCAATTTGGCCCAAGTGTTCTCTGCTGCTCTTTCTGGTGGAGTGCTGTGGCCCTTGCAGCAAACCCCTACTGCGTTCTCTGTTCGAGGCATCACTGTAAAGCAAGCAGCTCTGGAGTAGAGGTTCATACTTGGGATTTGCTGTCTGCACTAACACTTTCCAAATTGGGGCTGCTGACATCTCGTCTGAGATGTGGTGGTCACCGTGGGCAGCAATGCTTCCATGAGGACATCTAAAATATAATGAAGCCTTCAGGGATGACTGTCTCTTCAGTAGCTGCTGGTAACAAATGTCCCGTATTACAGAATTCCATTACTGTGTCAGCATTTCCATTTCTAATATATCATGTGTTCAGAGACAGCAAACATACTTCGCTGTCCTGCTGGCTAGGCCTGAGGAAGTAAGACGAAGACATGCTTCAAAGTGTCTCCTGTTGAAGGGGATTGGTATGTGCCTGACAAGAGCTGATTCACTCCTCTTGTTTACTTGGCAGTCCATACTCATTGCTGGAGTAAGCATTTTAGCAAAGAATAAACGGTAATGTACCTGTTAACCTAACAAATCTGAAGCTTCCCTGAAACAAAAAAAATTCAAATACAGGAACAGGCCCATGCTCCTCTCCTCCTTGGGAGGTCGTTGCCTCTTGCCTTGGCTTGAAGCACGCCGCATTGCCTTTTTCTGTCCCTAAAAGCGCGTGGCTCCTGATGCAGAACTTGTTTCAACAATTAGCTGGGCTGGGTTTTGCTAGCAGGGTTCTCTGAGCTCAGAGGGTGTTAGCTGTTCTCTTTTGCTAGCTGCTGGGGATTGCTCTTGGGCTATTGCTTCACTGAGGTCTCTCTAATCACTTTTTATTCTCGGTGGTTGTGTGTTTAGGCACGAGACCAGCTAAACAATGCCCTGGAGCTCAACAGACATGATCTGACTTACATGATGCTGGGGAAAATTCACTTATTGGAAGGGGAGATGGATAAAGCCATTGAAGTCTACAAAAAAGCCGTAGAGTAAGAATATGTCCTTTTTTCTATCTGCCTATGTCCCATCCTATGCCAGGAGAAATTTGATTGGTGTCCCAGATCTGAATTGAGGACATGATTAAAAAGCTAATGGTAATTATAGTGTCTCTGTGCAAAGCTGGCACTTTCAAGCTCTTCGGCTGTCTCTGCTCTCAGCTGTAGTCCTCCTCCTGCTGACAGTGTGTCAGGGAAGAAGGTAGGTGTTTGAAGATCTGCCAAAAAAAAAAGAGGAAAAACAAATGGACAGAGATGCCTGACAGCAAACCTGTCCAAAACCGGCTTCATAAATCCCAAAGGTTTATCTACCAGAAAGATCTAACCCCGAGTGTCTCTCTAACCTCGATCGTCTGTCAAAAATCAGTTACTGGGTTTCACATACTGTTTTCACTTGGAGTGATTTGTGTTTGAAAGCAAGTGAGTAGGCAGACTTGAGACGGGTTGGTGCACAGTGAGTTTCTCCCACCCCATCACTGTTTCTCAGTAGTGATCTGTCTTGTTTTAGGGCAGTCCTGAGCATCTGATTTACCAATGCTTTCAAAATGTAGTTTTGCAATAGAGGCAAACACTAAAGAAAAGCAGGAGCATGTCGGAAGCCACTGGAGGATCTACATTTTGTACCAGCTCTTTTCACATATTCTTGCCCTACACATCTGCCTTTTGCTGCTGTCTGACAGTATATTGAGTTGGGTAGCCATTTGAACTAATCTAGAATGTTTATTACGTAAATAATCCTTGCTAAGCATCTTACCAGGTTTATATATCTTATCCCGGTGCTCCCCTGCCCTCCCTTCTTTCCCACTCCTTTCTTTTTCCTTTTTTTGTTCTCATCTGCCTGTTACATTTTGCCTCCTGTTACCAGCTCCAGGATGGTCCGTCGTTGCTCTGTGTTTATATACCGTCAGGCACAGGCGGCAGTTTTGTTCTGGTTGAGGTTTAAAGGTGCCAATGTGAGTGTGCGTATTGGATTTTGTTAAGTCTTGATAGCAGGGAATTGAACACTTCTGTTAAGGTGAGGGAGGCCACGAATACAGTGTCTCTTTCTGCTTTTTCTTTTTTGTTGTTTTCATCCTGTTTATGTCTTCAAAAGCTACTGGGAATAGGGATGCTTTTAAAAGGGTTCACAGCCTTGCTGTGTGAACCTCGTACTAGCAGTGAAGGACTGGGAGTTGCATACAGTAATTGAAAGCCCTTGGGACATATTTTTTGAAGCTTCTCTGTGCTGAATGGAGTGGTCTGTATGGCCAGGGATACGTTAACAGGTAGTGCCTGAGCCCTCTGGTCTGTGGGCTGCGGTGTAGCACAAAGCCGTGGTGAGCAGTCCACAGCTGGTCTGCAAAACCAGATCTGTAATCTTTTTATAGGGTGAATTAGAAGTCTGATGATGGGTGTGTGTAGGATCCATCAGAAATGCTGAGGACTGCCTGTCCTACATGGGCCAAGAGGCTTGAGATGGATTTACAGGGTGGTTTATGGGAGATGATGCAAAATCTCATTTTGTATTTCCAGGTCAGTGATGCAGACTCACTTTGAAGCTTAACAAAACCACATTATCTCATTATGCATCCAGATCTATTTCACAGAGCTATGCTGATTTCCCATTTATATCTAGAAGACATTTTGAAAGCTTAGGTGTAATATTGTTCAAAGGAAGGCCCCATGGTGGTAATTGTTCTAATATTTGCATTTAATAATAACAGTTAATTTCCTGGAATGATACTCATATAGTGTAGCATCATAATTCCATGTTCTGTTTTTACTTCGTTCTAGAAGGGCTAATAAGCAATGCAGCTCTCTGACTTTTGTATTACAGGTTTTCTCCAGAAAATACAGACCTCCTTACAACACTGGGGTTACTTTACTTGCAGGTACTGAAGCCTGTTAGCTATTACATGGACTTAATTGTTTTCAAAATGACCAAGGCTTTTTTTTATAGAGTTCATTTCTATCCACCTTCCTATGACTTACACACGTTTCTCTAAAGACTGCGTTTAACATGACAGAGCTTGCTTTTCTGTATCTTCTTTTTTCCTTTTGCTGCTACAAGCAAGTTGATTTCCTGGACCTGAGCCAGAGCAGGAATTCTGTTTGGCAACTGCCCTAATTCTGTTATAAATCCTCCAAGTATAACAAAACATGACTAGTTATTACCTTGTTTCTGGAGCAAGAGTCTAGCAAGTTATTCTCCTACAAAAGCAGCCATTAAATTGTTAGTGTTAATGCACCATAGAAGAAAACCGGAATCGATTTAAATAACAAAGGCATGCTTATCACTTGGGTCTGTAAAATGTATGGGAAGGACTGTCTGATTATTCCAAAAGTAAGCTTTCCAAAGAGTGAACAAGCAAGGAAGAACAGGCAGTAGTGCCTGAAAGGATTGATAGGCTAGAAAACTTGCACCAAGTGATGATTTGGAAAGGTCGTTAAGTGTTTCCCTAATTGTTTAGATGCTCAAGAATAAAATGTAGATTTTGAAAAAAATTGCCTTGCTTTACAAATAGGGAAATTCAATAGGAGCCTTGGATGTCTTAAGTTGGATATATGTGGATTTAGAAGGGAATATGACATGGGGAGGGGGATCTGCAAGATAAAAGTAGTGCGAGTATAACATTTGCCCTGTGAATTTAGCCCCGAGGTCCCTGTGCTCTGATTCATTTGTTCAGTTTATCATGTCTCTGGATACGTACTCACCTTCAGAAGTTTTAAAGATGCTTCTGTAGCTTTCCCACTTGCTATTAATTACAGAAGGCACTGGATTCTGATGCATCGGTATAATTGCTGGAGTGACGGATGGGCTTCTCATCGATTTTTGTGACCAAAAAAGGACACCAGTATCCAGAGTTTTATCCTGTTCGGACTGGTACATATCTGGCATAACTCAATTGAAAACGATAAGATTTAAGTGATTCTAAGCAGTCATGTGCTTATATAGGGACACAGTCATGCCCACTAACACTTGCAGTCCATTAGAAGACAAGGGAAGACTTTCTCACGTGAAAGGAGTGCCCTGGGGAGTGAGGAAGTTGTGATGAGGGAATTGAGGATGTGCAGAGTAGCAATTTGTAGCTCGTTTCTGGAAGAGAGGAAGGAGCAGAGGGCTATCAACCCAGGGCTCGCTCCTGTGGAGGAAAGTCAGAGCACAAACTACATGGAAACCTTTGCTTTGGTCAGAACAGTGAATCCAGCCCAGCAGAATAAATTTTTAGAATCTGTTTTGTAAATTATCAAACAAGAATGTGTGTGTGTAATGGGAGCACTGTAAAATTCACTTCTCTGAATATTTAACTGACCCAGAAATTCTAGTGCCCAAAAAGCATGTGTTCTCTTTCTTACCCCCCCCCCCCCTTATTCCTTATCTTCTGATGCTTATTTACTTATTTTCCCAGCTTGGGGATTACCAGAAGGCTTTTGAACACCTTGGAAACGCACTTACTTACGACCCAGGCAACTACAAGGTATCATGAGGAGTGGAAACAAACCATCTGAACGATGATGAGACACCTCTTAAAGCTAATTCCAGTATCAGAGCTTTGTATCTATAGCTAGGGTCATAGCCTGGAGAGGCTGAAAAGGGTCATGCCCAGAAAGCTTTCTCCGAAATACATTTCTGGGACCTTTCCCTGGGTAGGGAGTTGGATGTATGTGGAAGCAGGGAAAGGGGAGGAGGCAGAATACGGGATGTTAAATTGATCCCTTTGTTTTTTAACCTGAAGTTGCACCAAAATCAGGTGGAATTTACTTTGGAAGGGAAATCTTCTAGACAGTTTCAAAAGTCCCAAGAGCTGTGCCCAAGTCCCTGTGACTCCTAGGCGTGGAGCACAGATACAAGTGATATTGTATTTTATTATTCTCCCATCTGTTAATAACCCTGTCTGTGCTTCCAGCTGTTGTATACAAATGTGACTTTTCCTTGGCTCCGGTCTGGAAAGCCAAGCTTGATATCTAGATTTCATTGCTGATTGTGAAACTACTTCCCTTTTTGGGCATGTCACTTCATTTCTCTCTGCCTCTTTTTTCCTTCTGTATGATGTTAATGATTTAGAGTATTGAAATGTGTGGTTGACAAATGATATATGAATGCAAGCTGAATGTTATTGTGAAAACACTTTTATACTTACAAATTTTACTTGCCACTGTGAAATATTAGAAAGGACTTAACCAGTGTTGTTTAAATATAGTGTCTTGTAATGACTTGCCCTTTTTTTCCCCATGCATATTTCCATTAATTTGCAGTATCAATCACTCAGTGCGAACTAGGCTAGCTTTGCTGCATATGTCTTGCTTGGGTACGTTTTACTCTCCACTTAACTTGCACCAGAACTATGTCTATCTATGCTTGTTGGTAAAATGAATCTATTAGTGCATAGGTCTTCTCAGAGACTCAGACTCTAGGAGATACTACTGTCACCACAAAACATACCCTAAACACTTGTCATGCTGCAAGATTTCCAAGACAGTTATGATAGAGGTAGTGCAGGAAGAAGCAGACTCGAGTCCCTTCTTTACCCTGTCTTCTGCTGTATGTTGGGAGATTCTAGAGTCCTTATCTGATCCCTGCTGTTGGTCTTGGCAGCCCCTAGAAGAAAACACCTGAAAAAGTTAAATGATTGCACTGGAGATGGCTTTAGTTTATTCATTTTGTCCTGTTGTCTTCTTGCTATATTTGGGAAAATGCAGTTCCTCAGCTGGTCGCTCTTGTCTTCTCTCAAAGGCTACCTTGGCAGCTGGCAGCATGATGCAGGCCCATGGAGATTTTGACGTTGCCCTCTCCAAATACAGGGTGGTAGCCAGCACTGTGCCTGAAAGCCCCCCGCTGTGGAACAACATTGGGATGTGCTTCTTCGGGAAGAAGAAATATGTAGCAGTAAGTCTCTGATTTCCTTTCTTTTTTTTCATCTGTAGCTAACTTCACGCAAGAACAAGATTCCTCTTGTGGCAGAACCAGGAGGTCTGTTCTGGGTGGGCTGTGTTACAGCACATTTATTCCTTTTTTTGAAGGCTATCAGTTGCCTGAAGCGGGCAAACTACTTGGCTCCCTTTGACTGGAAGATTCTGTACAATTTGGGGTTAGTCCACCTCACGATGCAGCAGTACGCTTCTGCTTTCCATTTCCTCAGTGCTGCCATCAACTTCCAGCCGAAGATGGGAGAGCTGTATATGCTCCTTGCAGGTATGCAACGCTCCGTTATCCAGCTCCGCGGTATATCCAGCTTAGCAGAAGCAACGTTATAGAGACAGAAAGTTTGGGCTGAAGTAAACAAATGTTGGATAAAGACGATACTAAGAAGCTGTTCCCCAGTAGGTCAGGACAAGTATAAAGTCTCTTCTCTCTCTGTGATGAATCGGAAGGTTCAGTTGTGGTCAGATCAGATTAAACATTAGAAAACAGTAGGTCGGGACAGGTATAAAGTCTGAATAGTCTCTTCTCTCTCTGTGATGAATCGGAAGGTTCAGTTGTGGTCAGATCAGATTAAACATTAGAAAAGACTTTCTACATGTAAGAGTTTGGGTTTGGGTTGCCTAAGGAGTGGGTGTGGATTTCCAGCACTGGACGTTTTTGGGATCAAGCGAGACAAATATTTGTCAGAAGTGACGTTAGTAGGGTTAATTCTGGCAGCAGTCCAGACACCCCTCTAGCACCTATTTTACGATGTAGTGACATTCAGAATTGTCCTAAAAATGAAGTCCTTGTAAAGCATCAACTTGTGTGTGTACATTTTTGCTTTGATACAGTTGCTCTGACAAACCTTGAAGACATTGAGAATGCAAAACGTTCCTATGAGCAAGCTGTGGCACTGGACAAGTAAGTCTTAATCATAGCTGTCAGTTGTTTGATGGCGTTGCTTTGCATCCCTGCACCTGGTTTCCTTTGCATGCTTTGTCCCTTGGTCTACTTTGACCCTTAACAGTTTGCAGTAGGGAGACATTTTTATTCCTGTAGCTGTGCAAGTGACAGCTTTAAAACCACCTTTTTTTTTTTTTTTCTTTAAAATTCAAGTCATCTTTGAAAAATGAGAGGGAAATCTTCTTTCAGACCAACTCAAAGCTAGGTTTTATTTTGCTGTTTAGTTAGTGAGTCAGTGGTGATGACTTTGGATTCCAGCCTTCCTTTCAGTGAATATTTATACACAGTAGAGCAGATTCATTAGAAGAAAACCAGTCATCCCAGAATATTTTGTAACCGAAAGTTTGAGCACTGTGCAGAGCAGTGAGATGCTTGTGATAAAGCCTGTTCTGAATTGGGCAGAGGGAAGATTTTAGCTGGGAGAATGTGGGCAAGAAGTTAGTATAAAGCATATAAAAGGGCAGCAGTGTAGTCCTTTCTCCTCCATTTTGTTAACAGTGTCTTTGTTTGCGATCTAGCTTTTAAAATCAGAGCACTTGCTTTCAGAAGTGTTAAGGTGAATGTTGCAGTATTTCATCATTTCAGGCAGAAAAACAAGTTTGTCTCAAATTAATAAATAGTTTTGTCTCTCTCCCCAATTTACAATGAATATTTGCATACTTAGAGCAACCAGCACGGTGTTCCTGAGCCCAGGAGTCTGTATGCTGGTGACAGAGCTGTGGCAAAAGCGCTCTTTCCATCTGGAGTGGCCACCAGAAGGTGGCATGAGAAGATGCTGATCCCTTTTCCTCTGTCCTCTCTAACCTAGGTGCACTGGCCAGGCTTAATTTTGGGAATTCGGGAGGTTCCAAAGCCCCTTATAAAGGGCAGCAGGTTTCAAAAACCATTGTTTGACGCTGTAGTGCAGTTCTCTTTGCGAAGAGGTGCTGTAAATGCTTTCAGATGTTTGCTGGGAATTACATGGCTTGCACACATGCCAGAGCTCTTGAATCAGCCCTGCGCAGCCAGCACACACCTGGCACTGGAGGTCTTCATACGTATGCATCAACAGAATTACAAAGCAGGTTTAAATATTACTTCTACATCTGTTTCAAACATCGGTACGTCTGTGCAGCCTCCTCAGAGGAACCAAACCTGTGGAAGCTATGGTCAAAGATTTGCAAATGTATTGCTGTGTGAGTGCATTTTGCGATTATCCTTCGGTCACTCCTGCCAACATCACTGACCAAGTCCAGTCGACTCCTTTGCCTGGCTTTCCTAATCAGCCTTCCATGCCTAGCAAGGCACTACTGGACCTTAAAGATTGCTCAGACTTCCCAGTCATGGGTTGGTGTGCTTTGATCAAAGAGAAGGAATAGAAGTTTAGCTCTACAACTTTGCCGAAGTATTTGGCACTACTATGATGCTACAGCTCTGTAGTCTTACTGGGAAAATAAAACCTCATCAAAGCAAAAATGAATGCCAACTGCCAGGGACTGCTGGGAGGAATATCCAGACTTTGTTAGGCTTGTTCAGCTGACATGCCATATATTTTAGACAGTTATTGTGTGGCTGAATCCATGTTCCCACAGGCTCTCTTTGCTGGCATATTATGAACTGTTTGGCTGGGATGAAGATAGCAGCCGTGTTTGTTTCCATTGTCAACGCTGTGACATTTGGCCTGGGTGCCACGCTGGGGTCTGAAATGGAAAGCGTCTTGGAAAAACCTTTAAAAAACCTGTTTCTTCTTAGTACTGGTTCTAGCTCATAGCTGTCCTTTCTTTCTGTGGTTATTTAGCTATTGATTTTTTTTCTAACTGTCCTATTGCTTCTCAGCTCTTGAAGGCAAATTAGCTTCATAAGGTTCAATTAATTTTAAAGCTGTCTGTTCCCAGATCTGTCTGATCTCCTCAGTGTTTTGTTGTGTAGATTTGGGGGTTTGTATTTTCTTTTTTGGCCTTTGTTTTGGGAGAGGGAGGGGCAAAGAGATGAATTTTTGGTTATTTATTTTTTCATGCATTACTTCCTTTGCTTTGACGAAGACAGTGAGGAGGGTGTTTTGGTTTTGTGGGTTGTTGTTTTTTTTTTTTTTCATGGTGGGATCAGTGTTCCAGTTTCTCAGTTAAAGGAAAAGCAATGGTTATAAATGCTGTCAGATTTCTTCTAATAATCTTCTTTCTTGCAGCACTGTCATATAAATTACCAAGGATGGATAATCATGGCCTGCAGATGACACTTTCTATTTATTGAACAGTGTTAGCAGAAGCTTTCCCTTCTGCACTTTTCACAACAGACGCTCTCTCTGTCTTGGCCCCCCAGGTGCGGGTGCTGGAGTCCTTGGATGGTTCCAGCTATCCCTGCCACGCTCCAGGAGAGGGCACCAGGCCCTCACTCACATTTATTGAGCAAACTACAAAGCATCTCTCATTGACCTGTGTGCAGGGATACATGTGTGCGACTCCTCTGCAGGGAGCTGCGGACAGACACTGCTCTTCCCATGCACCCCTCAACAGCACGTCCCCTGTTTTGGCCAAATGCAACCTCTGCTCTGCCAGGTCTCATCCTGCAGCCTGGATGAGCTGAGCATCTGCATGAGCTCCCATGCTGGGGCCGGTGACCCTCTTGCGTTTAATTTCTTTGTCAGATAATACACGTGCATTTTGCTTCTCCAAAATACGGGTGAAATTCAGACTGCTAAAGAATGGTCAGAGCAGTTTGTTGAGTGTGGCATGTCGGGCAATTAAGGAAGGATCAGCTCTCCGAGAGCTTCACTTCTCAATTACAGAGCCAAGGGGGTCAGCTCAAAAAACTGGTTTAGTTTGCTCACACTCCTGGCTATGCCAGAAGAAATGTTGCTGGTCAGGGTTAATGTACCCTAGTGAAGAAAATGGATACTGTAGAAAATGAGAATATATGGAGCAATTCTGCCTTTTTGAAATCTTCATATGCTGTTGTGTATCGGGAAGGGAGGTAGGACTGTGCAGGATAACAGTGCTGGCTGCGGTGCCGGTCTCCTCTTCGAGTTAACAGGTATCACCTACTGTTTCTCTGTAACAGTACGTACAATTATGTACGCTTTTAGCGGGTGAATGAGAGAGAAGAGGTGAGGAAAATGAAATGTAAAGAGCATGTTCTGCGGCATGTTGGGTTGGAAAATACAGTCAATAAGCATGAGTCTGTTTCACTGCCCTGTCCCATGACAAACTGCTCTCCTAAAAATCGGGGGAGCTGTGAGAGCCTGAGATAAGTCAGAGCAGAGATCAGCTTTCACAGTATGATGAAAGCCCCCATCACTGCTCTGCCTGCCCCAGGAGCAAGGGGCTGGGAGACCGGGCACTTACTAAAACCAGTCCTGAGACGGTCCCCAAGTGCAGAGAATTGGCTGGTGCAGAGAAGAGCCTTGCAGGGGGTGAGGCCATCAGCAGAGTCACTTATATTGTCATTGACACTGGGATACTTTGCTGAGCCCAGGCACCGGGTCTCTCACTGAGTACGTGGGACTCTATCATGTTCACAAAAGATTCTGGCTGTGCAGCCCCTCACCTGCTTCGCGGTCAGCGTACCCCATGGCTTGTCTGTACCAGACAGGAAGGTGGCTCCAGCTTTGCAGCTTGGGCACATCTTAGCGTTATTGAAGTCAGGATAAGTGTTCCCACAGTGAATGCGATGCATCCTGTGCGTTTGCTGCAGGTGCAACCCCCTCGTCAACCTGAACTACGCCGTCCTGCTTTATAACCAGGGTGACAAGAAGGGAGCCCTCTGCCAGTACCAGGAGATGGAGAAGAAGGTCAATGCAGTGAAGGAGAGCAGTACTCTTGACTTTGACCCTGAGGTATGTGCGTAACGGTTGTCAGCGGGAGCTAAGTAGCCACACTAAGACTGGCAACAAACGAGGAGGAAATTTGACTTTGGAGTCCAATTATTAGGAAGAAATTCTGCTTATGAGATTTTCCGAGTAGAGCAGTTGCCTGCTGAGAGTGGCGTGCTTAATTTCTGTTCTTTGAAGCCCAGTTCTTCAATCAATACACAGCAAGAGAAGATTCTCTTGTAATTAAGGGAATGAATTAGCGGAGATGTTTCCCTTGAGCACCAAGGCAGTAGTCAGCTCTGCACAGCCCTTAGTTGTTTGGTTGGGTTTTTTTTTGTGTTGTTGTTGACTTTATTGTTGTCTGAAGTGTTCGTGTTTATAATGGTCTTCTCTTTTTGCTTCTTGAGAAGATGGTGGAGGTTGCCCAGAAGATGGGAGCTGCCCTGCAGGTCGGGGAGAGCCTGGTCTGGACTAAGTCTTCCAAAGAGTCTAAATCCAAGCAGAGAGCTGCTCTGTCAGTGAAATCCTCCAGCACTCAGCAGCCTTTGGGCTCTAACCAGGCGCTGGGTCAAGCCATGTCCTCAGCTGCGGGGTATGGGAAAACCATGCACCTTCCCCCAGGTACTTCTCTTTTGCTTCTCTTTAAGGTAGAACTGTGGGAGGGGAGAAGTCTCTCTTCCTTTGAGTACAGAGTTAAAGCACATGTTTAGAAAGGTATTGACTTGCTTACATGGTAGTAATGTCAGTATTTGGTAATAACTTTCCCAGATTTCTGAGTTAAGGAAGTGTGCAAGGAAGATGCTGTCTGTGGTGCATTATACTATTCTGCTTTTGCAGGGGTGTGGAAAGGCAGTAAAGTTTCCCTTCCTGTCTGAGCCACGATGGGCAAGACTCCATTAGCATGGGATTGAGATCTTGCTCTGGAAAGGGGGTGGTTTCAGAAACCAGACATCTTGTCTTCCTTTGGAAGAGCCCAGGAGCTGATGTGCACAGACAGTCTGCTGGAGAGAAGGGAAATGATGGACAATTTTCTGAAGTGCTTTATCACTCTGGATTGCTTTGAAGCTGTCCAGCCAGGACCCTCCCTTGTAAATGTTGCTGGATTACCTTCTAGTGTGGGCCACTGGAATGAAGGTTGCTCAGGAGATAGCTTCAGCCTTAAAAGGCTTACGCCGATAGCTGTACGTGCTGCTTCTTCTGGGGCTAGGTAGGAGCATCTCCTGAGACACCATTCGTAGCCTGACCTCCTCTCATCCCTTGGCTTCCGAGGAGGAATGCACTAGAGAGATTGCTGATTTTCTGTTACTCTTAGTCATGTTGCCTGTGGACGGAACCAGGAGAGAGGTGGTGTAATCCAGGCCTCTTTCTTTGGCACCCCTAAGGACCTGTTCCATTCCTTATGCATGGAATAAACTTTCCATGCAGGGAAGACTTAGCCAGAAAAGCTGAAAAATAAAACGTAACAGGAGTTTAGGGTTTACCTGAAGGACTTTATTATGCGTATCAGAGAAGGGAGCTGGTTCATAACATCAAGTTATCAACCTAAGTCTGTAGAAACAACTTCAGAATGCAAGTGTCCTGTTTTGATTTTATTCTGTAAGTAGATACTTTAACTGCCTAGAAACTCTCTCTGAGTTTGCTAAAACTGATCTGAAAATGATGCTGTGGTTTTGGCTCCAGCTTGAGTATAAACCAGCTTCAGTGGAACTGTTTTCCCTTCCAAAACATGAATTAATTCCTAAGTTTGTATTGACTTCTCACAGCAGCCTAGCTGAATGAGATGCTGTGCCTTAGCTTCCCTTCAGCAGAACTTTGGGTACTGTAACGTCTCTGGCTGGATAACTCAAAAAAGAGTTGAGTGCTATCGATAAGCTAATGCTAGACAAAAAAAATCCGAGGGTAATTAATAGCTGCAATTGTTCTGCATCTCCATGCTGCCTGGAAGGGCAAAAAGAATAGACACATGTAGTCATACAGTAACTACAAATGTATTCTCTCCCCAGGCGCTGGAGCATCGGCTCCGCTTGCAAAGCCTCCCTCACTGCCTCTGGAACCAGAACCGGGCTCAGAAATGAGCCCCGAGGAGACGAATGGCACCGAGGAACAGAGGAAAGAAAAGCGCAAGAGCCGGCAGGCAGCGGACTAGGATGGACTCTGGTCAGCAAAGGCAGGTGCAGGAGCATCTCCAGAGCTGCCTGTTGACTTGTGGGGAAAGAGACCTGTCCTCTCCTCTGACCCACGGTGGCTTCACCCCACTGTCAGTTAGTCTAAATGCAGCTGTTTACTGTTAATGATTTTAGCACGTGGTCTCTACCTGGTCCCAAGGAGTCGTCACAGCAATCAGAAGAGGTTTCTGCGTAGCTACTGTTAGTGCGGTCACAGCAGGAGATCCATCTCTCCACAGGGTTGGCAGTCTTCAGTGTTTGGGTGTAAGTCAGTCAGTCCTCCAGGAGGATGCTGAGGCATCCAGTATGTTTAGAAAAGCCAGGAGTAGTGACTTTGCATCCAAACCCATCCACTGGCTGAACTTGTAAGCAGCTGAGGAAGCCCTACACAGGCCGTAGTAAGGTCAGTGGTAATATGCTCAGAGAGGGCGTGAAGGTCCACGCACTTCACTAGGGCATGTGCAGAGAAGTAAGCCAGGCTCGGGACTAGCACAGCCTGGCTTACTCTGAACCAAGGGCTTGTCAGTCCGCGTTTCACAAGGGCAAGACTTTGTAAATGCTTTCTTAAGGCTGAAGAAAGGAAGCTGAAACAGCTGGGAGCTGGTATTCCTGAGCAGGGCAATGTCACGGTCACAGAGCACGAGCCCACACTTTCCTTAGCGGTGGCAGTCGTGAAACGTGGGGGAGCAGCACAGCAAAGGTGATCAGTCTGGTTTGTCTTGAGGTGATCGCTCCCTTAACACGCGGCCCGGTGGAGGGTGGCTGGCTGAAGCAGACCTGCTGTGCTGGGCTAACGGGATGTGTTGCCCAGCCAACTGAGCCAACTTCTTTAGGACTGTTTCTTGAACCCAACCTATTTTTAAGCATAAGCTATGTTGTAGCTAAGAAAGTTGCAAAGCTGGCCCACAGAAAGGCAAGTGCTCAGAGGCTGGCTATTGTGGAAGCAGGCTAGCTGCAGCACCAAAAAAGTCTGCCAAATTCCTAATTGTTCACTGAGAAACAGCGTAAATGAGCCTCAGTGAAGCTCTGCTCATGTGATTGATTGGAGTTCTTCCTTCAGAATTTCTATAGTCCAGCATGGGGGGAAAGATTTGTTTGCAGGAAAAAAAAATTGCAAGCCTTTTTGGAAAGGACGAGGTCAGCTTCAATGCTAAATTTAAATTGTTTTAGTATGACGCCAGCCATGCTCTGAATAATTTAGTTACGCCCTCCTTACAGCTGCATTTTAGGAGAAAACAGTTACACTGGCTGCAAGGTGGCAAAGCAGCCCATTGGTAAGCAGAGCAAGGAATTTTAATGCCCATGTGATACTAGAGATGCTTTGAAAATGTTTCTATCCTTGAACAGCAAAACCTTACCCTTCCTTTCCTCTGCTACTAGCAGTGTGTTGCCTCTCAGATTTATCCAGAGCTCGTTACAGGTCCTCAAAAGAACCGCTTTTGGGAACTAAAAGCAGGACCATCATATGTTACCTAAAGCAGCGATAACTGGGTTAAGTATAGTTTTTCTCATCCTCCCCTCTGCATACCGAGAAGCACACAAAGCTAAGACTGCTCTGGGACTTTCAATCCAGGTTTTCCAAACAGAAGGCATAGTGCTTCCGCCACAAAACCTGAAGCTTCAGGCTTCGCTGTACTTGCTGGTTCTACAGTGATATCCTGCTCCCTGGAGAACACTAGAAGAGTAGCAATGCTTCACTTTCTCCACTGTTTTGATTGTCAAAACTGCCCGCTTATCTTGAATGTGGCTTTTTTTTTTTTCCAGCTGTCCTGTACTGACGGCTTTTGTATTGGTACAGCTTCAGGGTAGCACTCCCGTAAAGTTTGCCTCATGCTAGGAGTTGAAGAAAACAGAGGATCTTTTGTAAGCACTGGCAAATTTAAACAAACCAGACAAGAAGCAGTGTAATTCAGGTACGGTGCGGCAATTTTTATTCACATTAAACTTTTTACACTGAAAATTACTGCAACATAATGGAGTGCCTGTGAAGAAGAGGTTAAGATTGCAGAGCAGGGGTAGGCTCACCCCCAAAACTTCAGTTCAGGACAGGTTTTTCCAATAGCAATTGATTGCTGTGATCTTTCAGTCTTCTCACAAAGGCTTTCAAGCCATGGAAGCTCCAACACAAGGACCAGTGACCAGAACAGTGTGGTTACAGGTGAGCACCAGCATTGCTGATACAGGAAGATTTTTTCCTCCATTTTTTTTTTAATTTTACTAGCTGCTTTCCCCTGCCTTCTGCTTGTTGTAAAAAAAAAGGACTGTAGCATGATTAAACTTGTTTGCTCTATTCAATAGATGGGAGCAGCCCTCGTCCCACTGCTGTTCTCAACTTACAGCCCACCAGAGACACAAGGAACGACGATCTCTCTTCTCTCACCCAGTCCCAGTGGTACAACCTATTCCTTCTTGGCTGTTAGGATGCTTTTCTCGGGGAAATGTTACACGTTAGTACATAGCGTATACTACACTTGGAGGTATGTGAAAGTATTTAAAATAAATATATGTTCTGGTGAAAAGCTTATGCAAACAATTAACCAATTCTCCTCCTATGAAAAGGAGCAGTAGCACCTTGTTACTTGCTGTATTTGAATAGAGCAGAAGGGAGCTTCATGTCTAAGGAAGCATTTTTAAATATGTAATTACAGTTGCATAATAAATAGAACGGCAATTCCTTGTCCCGTCCCCTCTCTTCCTCCTGAGTATTGTGACAATGGCATTTGTATACAGTAAATTCATAGTATCTTTATGGAGAGCTTTTCTATGCTATCTAATGATAAGAATGAGGCTGGACTCTTCTTTCAACTGGAATTAAGCAAGAGATTTTGGAAATCACCCCTTATGTTCCCATAATTGAAATTTTAAGACAGAAAAGAATGAGTTTAACTTCTAGGGACGCAGATACCATCTGCTTTAGGACTTCCCCCCCCCCCCCCTTTTAGACAAATGGATATCATTAACCAGGTTAAATCATACAGCTTACAAGTTAAGACTGCAGCTTGAGTTTCTCACAGCAAGGAAATGAGAAGACACTCAAACAGCAATGCCTGGGCAGCAAGACCTTGTTTCAGCCAGGAGTAATGATCTATCCATCCAGCTAAGTGTATTCAACCCAGACAAATCTGGGTTTGAGGTCCCTGAGACAACTGGATGCTGATTTCTGATACAGGCAGTCTTAGCATAGACCTGCCATGCTCCTGTATGGGATCTTGTTTGCCCAGCTGTGGTCACCAACGGGCAGTACTGAGCAACGTGGACACTGGGTCCTGCTCAACATCCTGTTCTTGCATAAGATGTTAAAAATTTAGACTTCCCTGTTGGGAAGTGGGTTTCAGCTGGTGAAGCCTCTTCTACAGAGACAGATAAGCCTCAGTGCTGAATGAAGAGAAACAAACTAAATAGTCAGCTCCACACAAAACCAGCATGTATTATAACAAGTAATCTGCCAAGACTGTTTGATATAATAGAAAATACAGTTCTGCTACAAGGAAAGCTTTACCACCCTTTCAAACCAAACTGCACCAAAAAAAAAAAATAAAATAAAGTGTTTTTTAATGAAAGATACAGGTGAGATTTGAACCCAGCTTCACCTAGACTGCACTGACTAAAGAGCAGCTTTCCTGAGAAATTCATAGGGAAGGTTTTCAAGGTAATTTTTGTTTCCTTCACTTGCATTTTAATGAGATCATTCCCCCTTAGCTGCCAGCATTTGTATTTGTCAGCTGCTATGAGATCTTCTCAGCAAAGGCTCATACCAGGCTCAGTATTTAAAGCAACAGCGAGCTGTTTGGAACAGGCGCCTTTCCGAGCTTCCGGCACAGAAGGTAATGGCCACGCGTGCTATTTCCAACCTGCACTTGTTTCCTTTGCTGAGAGAACATCCTCCCACAAGAGTCTGGATCAATAACTCCCTGAGAATTCAGCCTGGTTGGCACTTAGGATCCACCTGAGATACTACGCAAGAAACTGCTCCATCTGTTACAGAAGAGAACTTCATCTGACATCTCTAAACAGACAGGAGAACAGTAATTTCTGGCTCTAAGATCAAGTTTTACTGAAGAGTTTAATCAGGCCCAGTATTGCTGAAACAGAAAGCAGATGGGAGTGATCAGAGCAGGCCAAGGGATATACCACGCAAAAGAACTTGTTTTGTGACTCAAACTTTAAAAACAAAGAGCAAAGACAACCTTTAGTACTCTCATTTCTCTCTCTAGTAACCTCATTAGTGCTTGAATGAAGAGCATGAGACAGTCTTTGTTGTGGCATCTGTTCTAGCTGGTTTCAAGAATGAGTCTATAGACATGTCATTTTTTTTTGTTAAACATGAGACTACCACTTTGGTATGATCACAGGTTTAAAATTTAACTATATGCTTTCACCAAAACATGAATTGCACTAGAGAAGAGCACAATTAACATGGCTTGAAACAAACATTCACATTCAAATACCAATTTAATGCAGGATTTAAGAGCAATCCAACTAAAGCCATAAAAATAGAAATTCAGTATTTTCCTCCATTTTTCTACTGTTCTTTCAAATGTACTCAAAAACTTGATGAGTTTCCTTACACCAGAAATAGCAATGCAGCACATTCTGTGACAGAACTACGTGTCAGCACTGCTTCAGGACAGATTGCTCCAAGCACGTGTATCAGCAGCCAGTGCCAAATATCAACACAGAGACAGTTTAGCTGCTCGCTCGTTGACAACACCATCAGCTTTCACCTAAGCTGCAAGCTCCAAAAAAGAGCCCAACAGCACAGAGGTTTAAATGACTTCTAAGGTAACTGGAAAGAGTTAAGTTGCCTTGTACCATTCTCACAAAAACTGTCCGAGTGTTCATTTTAACTTTTTTCTGAGGACATGGCTGGAAATGTCATCCTGTGGCACATAATTCCTGATAATTCAGTACAGAGTTAAAAATTAATATTTTCATTTACAGAGTTAAAAAAATAAAAGCCAGCCATAAGTAACATCAGTGG